TTTGTACACAGTCTGGCCTAGACTATTCTAACACAGGGGATGGCTTTAAGAAAAGGATAGTTAAAATGGCAAGATGCTACCATTCCTACAGGCATTTGTCAGCCATCCAAAGATTTGTTATTTCCATTACTATTTTGGTCATTCAACAAAAATGTTATCAGTGATATCAGGTAGTTACTAGAGTGTTCAAAAATTCATTTTAATGCCACTGAATTTTTTTAAAAAACTCATAGAACAATTATGAGTGGCTGATAATGGTGGGTGAACCCCAAAACAGTGAAACTATTGGAAAATTCTGTCGTGTTTTCTTTTCTCATTAGAACTGAGAAGTCCTAGATGACTCTTGTGAACCTCTGCTGATCTCAGGCCAAGTTCTACAGACTAACTTCCAAATTCTTATTAAACTTTCCTTGGAAAGGGAGAAAGTCACTTTTTAACTTTTTTACATAGAAGAGGTCTCTTGATACTTAGGGCTGTAGATGTATGCTTGAATGGTGAATAAATTAGAGAGCTGGACATGTAAATAAAAACAATACACCCCTCATTAAAATGGTCCTTTTATTTTTGAAGTGTTTCTAAATAACTGTGTCACTAAAACTCATTATAGTCTGTGCTTCTCTCCCTTTCTCTCTTCATACTACTTATTTTCAGTTGGTTTTTTTTTTAACTGTTTTAATGAGGTATAGCTTATATTATGGTACATTAAAAATACAGCCCTGTATACTCTGAAATATGTATGTACTCACATAACCACACACGGTCAATATGTAGAACATATTCAGCACTCTAGCAGCCTCCCTTCTATTCCACTCAGTCAATATCTCCTCAAAAACCAGTATTCCAAATATTCTGACCTCTATCACTATAGATTAGTTTTGCCTGATTTTGAACTTCATGTAAATGAAATTATGTGTTACATATTCTGTAATGTCTGGTTTCTTTTACTTAACACCGTGCTCATGAGATCCATCCATGTGATTGCAATGTAGTAATAGTGAAGCCTTCAAGTATTTATTGAGCAATTATCATATGCCAGGCACTGTGTAAGACTCTAGAGATAAAATGGTGAATAAGGCTATCCCTTCCCCTGCCTTCACAGAATTCACAGTGTAGTAGGGCGGCACATGTTAATCAAGCAATCAAAATGCAGTCTAGTGCTAGGATAGGAGACCTAAAGGATCATAAGGTAGGATCCCCACTCTAAAAGAAACTTCAAATTGCCAAGAAGACAAGATATGGGCACAAATAATAGAAAACAGAGTAGTGCTAGAAAATTACCCTAAAAATGGAATGAATGCAGGACAGGAGTCACATACAGTTATTTTTCGATATAAGGTATGCTATTACTAACACAGAAAGTTACCTCTTAGTTTCTATTAAGATGTTTTTCTTACTGACACAGTAGGAAGAACTAGTAGATTTGCCAGCATCTTCCATCTGTAGAATCAATGGGTTTTTAACTTCCACAAGCAAAGTCGTAATCGTGGTGCATTCTGAATTGGTAAATGCAATGCCTAATCATACAAGATGGTGTGAACATTCTGAAGGGCTTATGTTTCCTCTGGATTATATGTGTCTCATCCCATTTTTGTTCAGTAATGTGGTGCCTTCAGCTATAGACTTACATCAAGACCTGGTGCCACTTCCAGGCTCCGAGAGGACCAGAGACACTGCCTTCTGTGCCCACTGTACCTTTCGTCAATAAGATGTAACACGCTCAACAGTAAAAGGGTTCCATTCTCTACATTGAAGTAATAGTTGAATTCACACCATGATGTGTTTTGTTAAGAGGTGAAATAGAGCAGATAAAAAAGAAATTAGCTTCAATCATGATCCTTGGGGAATATACCACAATGCAAAATCACTAGATAGCTTTCTCTCTTCTCAGGCTACTTACAAATAATCCCTTTAGAATACATTTAGGTTTGGAGAAATAATTCATACTTGAAATAAAACCTAATGGCCTAATGTGGATTAAAAACCTATTGTGTGTCAAACATACATCCAGGAATGCACAGAAGATAAACAAAACTATCTTGGAGGGAAAGGGGAGAGATCTGTAAACCACCTTTGACATCATTTTGCACAAAACATTTTTAAGGTATTAAAGAAAATGAAAAGGGAAGGAGATAGATGAAGAGTTCTATTCTTCTGTGGTTAAAAAATAAAAAACAGAAGATGTCAGCTCAAATTCAAATTTAAACAATACTATGTGACAGTTAAAACTGGTATTTAAAATAAAACCCAATTTTAACCCTGATCTTTTAAGATGTATCTAATATATAAAATGCAGAACAGACTTATGGAACTTCAAATCAAATGATCCATTACCCATCCACTTGTTCACTGATGAAGGACTATGCTTCTGCAGTGGTTCTGAAATGTGCTTCCCGCACCAGGAACATTAGCATCACCTGAGAGCTTATTAGAAATGGAATTCTCAGGCCCTATCCCAGACCTACTGAATCAAAAAGTAGGATGGGGCTCAGTAGGATGTTAAAAAGCCCTCCAGGTGACTGACTGGGTTGCATGCTTAAGTTCAAAAACCAGCCTCCTGGAATGAAAAGGTTAATCAGGGCATGCTCTTTGAAGTCAGAGAAATTTGAGTTCAAATATTTGCACTTAGACATACTGTCTCTGTAACCTGGAACAAGTCTTTTAATCCCAGCTCTAATTTCCCAGTTAGTAAATAGAGACACTGTACCTTTCAGGGCTATTGTTAGGATTAAATGAGCAAATAATACATATGAGATCTACAGTGTATACACATCATATATACAGTACTTGGTACATGTAAGCACTCAGTAACTAATGTGGCACATGGAAGACCCTGGTTTTATGGGAGACCCTGGGTTCGATACTGCAGGAAAAGCTGTATTAATCAGACATGGCTACTTTCTTCAAGGACCTCAGTCTGGAAGAGGAGCTACACTAGCTTACAAATAATCATGATACAAAGTAGAAAGTGTTAGGTGGCAAGAGAGTGGTGTATAAAGTGCCCTGGGAGTATGAAGGAGTGGAGAAACCACATATTAAATAGGTTTTCAAAAGATGAAGCTTTTGAATAAGCACAAATGGAGGGAAGTGCATTCCAGATGAAGGGAACAGGTGAGAGGTGGAGAATTATGGATACACAGTTTGGCTAAGGAGATAACAGAAGGATGACCACATAACCTATTGTCCAAAGAGGGCCACTTTGCAAGTGAAAGGGAGCATCATTAACAGTTAAGTCAGGACAACAGTTGTAGAGGGGACCATGCATGTGGTCACCCTGGAGAATGAGAACTGGGGTACAGAGAGTGAGCTGGGTTTGTACAGGGAAGAGTCCACAACGACAGGCTGAGGACTCTGTTTTTAAGTCATGGGAAGCTGCGGAAGGTCTTGAGCAGGAATGTGACCGTGGCAGACGAGGTACCTGGGAAGATTACTCAGGCAGCATTGTGTAGGCTGCTGCAAGAATGGAGAGGAGGGAATGCATGAGAGGGAGATCACCAGAAATGATGAGATTTTTGAAACCAAATAAATGTGTCAGACAAGGATATGGAGAAGTTGAACCTGAAGCTATTTTCAAGCCTATGTCAACAAAACAAGGAAGTCAGGAGAAGGGGCAGATCATGGGGAAATAGCATGAATTCACTTTCAGATACAAGGTATTCCGTTTGATGGGCTCTGTTGCGTGCAACATGTGACTGGGTCCCAGTGTGCTACTGAGACGGGCAAGTGTGGCAACTGTTTCAAACGGAGTTCTTATTTCAGCAATGGTCTGTCCATTTCTCAAAAGAAAAGCTGCCCGACATCTTGATATAGCCTAAAGGCTATTTATATTCTCTAGATTTATTTTATTTCATGACCACTTAGGCCAATAATGCTTGCATTGTTATTAACATGGACCAGGCTCTTATTCTAAGCACTTAAAAATATTTTAGATTTAATCTTCCTAAGAATATTGCTTCTGAGTTATGATTGTTATAAATATGTTTATGATTGTGATATTATTATCCCCATTTTTCAGATGAAGACACTGAGGCACAAGCTGTTAGGAGACCTGCCCTAGGCAATACTGCTGTAAAGCGGCAGAGCCCCAAACTGAGCTGCAGAGTCTGCAGTCCTCACTGTGGGGCCAGGGGGCTTCTTACACCAAAGACATCCTGATGGAACCTGATGGGACTGGAATTGGAAAGTATTATCTAAAAGTCTCCCAGGCATCTTTTTTATGTATATAAAAAGATTTGAGGCATTATTTCCAGTTATAATTATCAAACTGCTCCACAGATGCAAAATAAATAGAATACTTATGACACTTTTGAGGACAAGGTATTCACAGATAGTATAAAAAAAAAACTGTCACGATGTGTGGACATATTATGGCATGTTTATTTGTTTCTAAGTCTCATCACTTCTACCCTGGAAATCTCTCATCCAGTCCCTCCTGTCCATCCCTGGAGCAGGTTACAGACAGCTACCGAAGTAATCTTCCTCAACAACTACTCTACCATAGCTGCTTCCTTCCTCAGGAACCTTCACAACGACTTAATTTCACAATGTCAGATACCAAGTCACAGAGTCAAGATCAAGCCTGAGCCACTATATTATATCACCTTCCAAATGATAGATGACCTTTTCCAACCACCTTTGTCATCACTAGTTTAAATAGTGAGTGTGGGTAAGGGCGGTGGCCTGGTAGGGCTAGGGTTATTCATACAGGACAGCAGGAGGTGGCCAGGACTTTAGAACATTTGGGGGGTGGGGTGAAGAATTTTTTTAAAATCTGGGAATACCACCACTACTGGAAATCTGAATGGGGTCAGGGCTCTGAGAGGAAGAGAATCTTTTAGGCAGTGGCCCAGCAGGGCTGGAAGAAAGCAGTACTCAGGGAAGCACTCATGGGAATCAAGCCTCTGGTTTTGGCAGGAGCAGCCCCTGCATTCCACCTTTCAGTGATGCAAGGAGAGCAACACTCCCCCAGAGAGGCCAACGGGCTCAGACGAACTGTTAGAACAGCAGACAGAGAAGCCATGCTTCCCAGGGACCCAGCTTTGATAACTGGGGAGAGAAGAGAATTAAAACAGAAACCAAGGCAACGGGAAGGAAGAGAGGCATCCCCTTGTTGGGTAAGTCATCTGATTTGGATACCACCTTCCTGAGCTTTTACAGCCTCCAGTATTCATCTCAATCAATCACAGTGCTTAACCTGATAAGCATGTGCTTGGATGGCTGGCTCCCCCACTAAACACTGGGCCCCTTGAGAGCTGGAATTTGTATTATTTGACGTATCCTAGCACTTACCCCAGAGCCTGGCACAATGCAGGTGCCCTGAGTAAAATGCCTGTGGATGGACTGATGAGTGAATTAATGAAGGAATGATGAAATGAAGGTAGAGTTTCAATCAACTGGAGTCATTATAGTAGAAGGAGGATTATAACTCATTTACTCCAATTCTATTGTTTCACAGATGATGTGAGACTCAGAGAGGTTAAAGGG